CCGTGTTCAATTGAAGGAGCTGGCGAGTCCGACGCGAGCGACGGATTCCGCTTGCGAGCAGCGTGCGACCTTTCTCTGCCGCCTGCCGTGTGACCGCGCACACTCGGGGACTCAGCCACCCACCCCAGGCAACAGCCAGCCACCCACCCCAGGCAACAGCCAGCCACCCACCCCAGGCAACAGCCAGCCACCCACCCCAGGCAACAGCCAGCCACCCACCCCAGGCAACAGCCACCCACCCACCACACCCCCCCACCAACCCCCCACCCCATCCCACCCCACCCCTCTCGTGCCCGCGGCTTAGCTCGTTACCATCGGGCACCGTGGTGGTGGTGATGGTGGTGATGGTGGTGATGATGGTGGTGATGGTGATGGAAGTGGTGATGGTGGTGACGGTGATGGTGATGGAAGTGGTGATGGTGGTGATGGAAGTGGTGATGGAGGTGGTGGTGGTGATGGGGGTGGTGGTGGGGGTGGTGGTGGTGATGGGGTGGTGTTGGTGATGGTGGTGGGGATGGTGGTGGTGATGGTGGTGGGGATGGTGATGGTGATGGTGGTGGTGATGGTGATGGGGGTGGTGGTGATGGGGGTGGTGGTGGTGATGGGGGTGATGATGGTGGTGGTGATGGTAATGATGATGATGATGGTGGTGGTGGTGATGGTGGTGATGGTGGTGATGGTGACGGTGATGGTGGTGATGATGGTGGTGATGGGGGTGATGGTGACGGTGATGGTGGTGATGATGGGGGTGATGATGGAGACCCGTGGTGTGGCGGCCAGCGTGCTGCGCTACGTAAACCCGCGTCCCGAGTTCCCGTGGCTCGCACCGTGCAGGTGACACGGCGTGCGTGACACCGTCTGCATAGCGGTGACACTCTGTCTTGTGTGCGAGTGCTGGATGCGTCTGTCTGTCTGTCTGTCCGCCTTGCAGAGGTCGCAAACGGGTTTTGATTCCTTACCCGTACCCGTACCTGGCCGCACCAGGGTCGCAAACGGGTACCCGATACCCGGCCGGGTACGGGTAGCCGGGTATCGGGTAGGGTACGGGTATCGGGTACCCGATTGCGACCTTTGCCGCCTTGTGTGTGTAAACAGTGTATATGTGTGTGTTTTTATGAGTGCTTGCGAACGGCACTTGCCCCAACAGTTCGTGAAGGCTATGCGGGGGATCTTAGTCTTTGCGTGTGTTGCGAGTGGGAAGCGGTAGTCCAACAGTTAGCGCGCTGCGCTACGAACGCGGCGTCACGGTCAACACCGGTGACGATTATCTGGACCGGTCCTGGGCCTCCTCCCATAGGTCGACTCAGCCTCAAACGAGTGCCTGGCTGCGGTGTATAGTGAACATCGCCACTGGGGGAGGCAAAGGCGGCCGGGCGTGGTGCTGGCCACCCACCCCCTCGTGTACCGTGCCGGACTTCATAGGTTGCTACTCGCTAACAGCACTTGCCCCAACAGTCTGATGGTGGCTGCAATGGGGGGCCGTGAGTGGGGCAGTGGCGGACCCAAGGTTGGGTGGGGGAGGGGAGGCGGGTGGGGAGCGATGGGGGGCACTTGCCCCCCACTCACCTGCACCCCCTCTCACCCCCCCCCCCCCCCCCCACCTTGAGACTTTGAATATTGGGGCGCCACAGTGGCGAAATGTTAACAACCTCGCCGAGTACACAGGAGTTCGTGGGTCCGACGCCGACGCCTGCTGTCGATTTTGGACTTTGCGGCGTCTCTCTCTCCGTGTCTCTCGCTCCCCGTGGTCGCGTGGAGTTTCCTCCCGGGTCCTCCAGGTTTTTGCCCTCCACATTCAGAATGAACGTCACCACGCGTCCAGAGTGATTGGCTGCTGCTATACTTTTCACACGCGATGACGACGACGACGACGACGATGACGACGATGACGACGACGATCCACCACTTCGTTGAGCTATCATTGGTGAGGGCGAGGTCGCTGCTGAACAAGAGCTATGCAGCTCAGTGGGCCCGAGCTGGTCAAATGAAACGTAGTTTTTAGTTGAGTTGCTCTTGTATTTGTATTTAGGCGCCGTCCATTAATGACATCACGCGATTTTGGACAATTTTTGACCCCCCCCCCCCCCCCTCGTCACACGGGGTCACAAAAAGTCAGACCCCCCCCCCTTCAATTATGACGTCACAAAGTTCTGCCCCACCCCCCCCCCCCAAAATAAAACATGCTTCAAATCGCTTCAAACTATTGTCATTGTAGTGCGCATTTAATGTTCTAGGAGAAAACATTTATTAAAAAGTATATTAATTAAGTAGAACGTGTTGTCTATATTTATTTCAAGTTGGGCATTTTTATGTGACGTCACATTTCTCAACCCCCCCTCCCTCGTCACACATCGTCACAAATGTCTGACCCCCCCCCCCCCCTAGGTGCGTGACGTCATTTATGGACGGTCCCTTAGCGGGTAATGCACGTGGCGCTGTTTAGCTGTTGAACCCCCCTCCCCCGCCCCCCCCCCCATCCCCTGCCTCTAGAGTATGGGCTATAGGGTGTGGTGTATCTGGTATAGGATATTTCGAGTACTATAGGGTATGGGTATAGACCACTCACGAGGATGACCGCCGCACCTCGCCACCACACGAAGAGGCTAACTGTGCACAGAGTGTGCCGCAACCAATGGCATTGTTCATCATTAGATGTTTGGGTTCGGCCAAGAACGTAAGTGTGGCCAGATGTGTCGTCGAAACCTTTCACCACCTGACACAGCCAAACAAATGTAATTGTCACGTGGTGTACAAGCGTCTAACAATGCGCCCATTATTCATTCAGCTCACTCACTCGCCCCACCCACTCAATCATTCACTCACTCATTCACTCACCCCACTCACTCACGCGTTCACTCACACGCCTACCCAGTCATTCACTCACCCAGTCATTCACTCACCCACCCACCCACCCGACTCCCTCACCTCACTCATCCCACCCACTCACTCATTCACTCACACGCTCACTCACTCACTCCACCCACTCAATAATTCACTCACTCACTCGCCCCACCCACTCACTCATTCATTCACTCACACGCTCACTCACTCAATCATTCACTCACTCATGTACTCATTCACACGCTTACCCAGTCATTCACTCACCCACCGAACTCCCTCACTCACTCACTTACCCCACTCACTCACTTACCCCACTCACTCACCCACGCACTCACACACCCACCCACTCACCCACACCACACTCGCTCACAGTGGGCGAGTTCAAGAGCAATTCTCTCGACCAAATTCATCAGCAATGAAATACAACGACAACGATTGTCATTCAAATGTCGCCCAGAATCCTCAAGACAGGAACCAGGAAGGCAGAGTTAATCCACGATGTGAGATTAACAATCCGTTTGGGCTTGCTGGATTAGCTCCGGCAGGACTGGAGCAGGGAAAACAATCATTTTAACACTTACTGCTCACTAGTCGTAGTCGGCTTTGGCTACCAATAGTATCCGTACTAATACTTTTTTAAAACATATGGGTTGGATCGCATGAATATACATGTGTTGCTAAACCCGCCACCATCCGACATAGACGATTAGAAGGGGTTTGTCACGTGAACAGAACGTGGCCAAATAGGTGACTGGTTCAGCACTAACCGGCTGTGTGTTTGGAGAGTTAACCCACTACAACATTAACAATTGTAGTGTAGTGTATAGTGTAGTGTATATTGTAGTGTATAGTGTAGTGTATAGTGTAGTATACTAGTTTAGCACTAACGAGTTGTGTGTTTGGAGAGTGAACCCACGACATTTACAATTATAGTGTAGTGTATAGTGTAGAGTATAGTGTAGAGTATAGTGTAGTAGTGTGTAGTGTAGTGTATAGTGTAGTGTATAGTGTAGTGTATAGTGTAGTGTATAGTGTAGTGTATAGTAGTGTATAGTGTAGTGTATAGTGTAGTGTATAGTGTAGTGTATAGTAGTGTATAGTGTAGTGTATAGTGTAGTGTATAGTGTAGTGTATAGTGTAGTGTCCTAATCTTGATTTGAAGCTTTTGTGACTGCAGGAATTCATACTCTTTGGTTCTTTCAATAAAGTCACGTGGGTAGAAAAAATAACTGATAAATGACGACGTTTCGATAGCAACACCAGCCATCGTCTTCAGGTGAATTGTTTTTATATACAGCAGGCGGCCTGCTGGGGAGGGAGTTTAGCTCCTACAACCGAGAGTGTGAGACTGAGTGTAAGGCTGAGTGTGAGACTGAGTGTAAGGCTGAGTGAGTCTGAGTGTGAGCCCGAGTGTGAGTGTGAGACTGAGTGTGAGTCTGAGTGTGAGTCTGAGTGTGAGTGAGTGTGAGTCTGAGTGTGAGACTGAGTGTGAGTCATAGAGTGAGTGTGAGTCTGAGTGTGAGTGAGTGTGAGTCTGAGTGTGAGACTGAGTGTGAGTCATAGAGTGAGTGTGAGTGAGTGTGAGTCCGAGTGTGAGACTGAGTGTGAGTCTGAGTGTGAGTCATAGAGTGAGTGTGAGTGAGTGTGAGTCCGAGTGTGAGACTGAGTGTGAGTCTGAGTGTGAGTGAGTGTGAGTCTGAGTGTGAGTCATAGTCTGAGTGTGAGTGAGTGTGAGTCTGAGTGTGAGTCATAGAGTGAGTGTGAGTGAGTGTGAGTCTGAGTGTGAGACTGAGTGTGAGTCATAGAGTGAGTGTGAGTGAGTGTGAGTCCGAGTGTGAGACTGAGTGTGAGTCATAGTGTGAGTGTGAGTGAGTGTGAGACTGAGTGTGAGTCTGAGTGTGAGACTGAGTCTGAGTGTGAGACTGAGTGTGAGACTGAGTGTGAGACTGAGTCTGAGTGTGAGTCTGAGTGTGAGACCGAGTGTGAGTGTGAGACTGAGTGTGAGTCTGAGTGTGAGTCTGAGTGAGTGTGAGTCTGAGTGTGAGACTGAGTATGAGTGTGACAGTGAGTGTGAGTCTGAGTGTGAGACTGAGTGTGAGTGTGAGACTGAGTGTGAGTCTGAGTGCGAGTCTGAGTGTGAGACTGTCAGCGACTCTGACCTGTATCTCGCGCGCGTGGTAGACCACGATGAGTCCGAGCAGGATGAGGGTGGAGAGGCTGATGAGGCACTTGAGCGCCAGGGAGATGTTCGACGTCTGTCAAGCGGCGGCGACGAGGAGGACGACGACGACGACGAGGAGGTGGTCGTCGTGGTGGTGGAGGTCGACAGAACACAGCACACACACAGCACACACACGCAGCACACACACGCAGCACACGCATCACGTCACGAACGACACACAGCACACACACACATAGCACACACACAGCACACACACGCAGCACACACATCACGTCACGAACGACACCGCACACACGCAGCACACACGCAGCACACATACGCAGCACACACACAGCACACCACACACACACAGCACACACACACACAGCGCACACACACACACAGCACACACACACACACACAGCGCACACCACACACACAGCGCACACACACAGCACAGCACACCACACACACAGCGCACACACACAGCACACACACACACGCAGCACACACACACATAGCGCGCACACACACAGCACACACACACACAGAACACACACACACAGCACACCACACACACAGCACACCACACACACAGCGCACACACACAGCACACACACACACGCAGCGCACACACGCAGCACACACACACATAGCGCGCACACACACAGCACACACACAGCACACACGAACGACACACAGCACTCGACAGCACTGGGAGAGCTACGCCACTTTTAAATAATCATCATCCGATTATCACGGTTGGCTACGTACGGTGCGAAAGAAGTTCTACATACAGACAAAGATGCCCCCATATAGCCTTTAACAGACTGTTGGGGCAAGTGCCATTTAGCGAGTAACAGCTATGAAGGCCGGCACGGCACACGAGGGGGTGGGTGGCAAACACCACGCCCGGCCGCCTTTGTCTCCCCCAGTGGCAACGTTTAAACACCGTACCAGGTACCCATTTTTTAGGCTGAGTCGACCTACACACAGAGTGGTGCACAAGCACACTTCAACAACAACAAAACTCACCACACTCATGGCTATGGAAAAAAGGGTCATTGCCCGAAACGTTGACGCATTATATAAATAAATAAATAATATGAAGGCCGCGTGGTTACTGAGGAACCCGTCGATTCGTTTGTGGTGCCGCGTCGAGGCCGGGACACGTGACGGGATCTATCAGAGGGGGGGGGGGGCGGTGGGGGGGGAAGGTGGGGGGGGTGGGGGGGAGGTGGGGGGGGATGTGGGGGGGGTGGGGGTGGGAGGTGGGGGGAGGTGGGGGGGTGGGGAGGTGGGGGGGGGGATGGAGCGACTTCGACGCAGCCGACACGACGGGTGACGCGAGGCGATGGTGGAGAGGCCAGGGGCGGTGCTGCGAGGAGTGAGATGAATGAGTGACGGCGAGAATGAGTGGAGAATGAGTGACGGCGACGAGGGGGGGAACTTAGAGGGAGGGTCAATAAAAGGTGCTCGAGGGGAAGGAGGGGGGGCGAGCGAAGAGGAGAGGAATGGGCGATAGAGAAGAGGTGGTGGTGGTGGTGGCCACCTTGAGTCTGCTGCAGTGTGTGCGTGTGGACCACCTTCCACAGCGCACGCAGCCAGCCAGAGGGGCGGGGGAAGGGCACGAGCTGGTAGCACATGCAGGCGGGCACACGTCTCGTCCACACCACCGCAATGCAGGCCACAGCAACACAATCACTCGCCCACTCACCCACTCGCCCACTCACACACTCACCAACTAACTCACCCACCAACTCGCCCACTCACACACTCACTCACTCACCCACTAACTCACTCACCAACTCGCCCACTCGCCCACTCACCCACTAACCCACTCGCCCACTAACCCACTCGCCCACTCACCCACAACGACAAAGACCCCCCGTGTAGCCCTTTAACAGACTGTTCGAGTGGTTCCCGAGCACCGATGGAAGTCTCGAACGGCACGCGAGGGGTGCGTGGCCAGCACCACGCCCGAGTAGCGATGTTTACACACCACGCCAGGTACTCATTGGAGGCTGAGTCGACCTAGGGGAGGCCCAGGACCGGTTCAGATAATCGTCACGGGTGTTGGACTCGAACTCGGGTTGCCGGGTTCTTAGCGTAGGATACCAATGGCGACACCACCCACCCACTCACTCACCCACCCACCCACTCACCCACCCACAAATACTCACCGGTCACTCATCTCCCCACCCACTCACCCACCAGTCACTCACCCACCCACACACAAATACTCACCAGTCACTCACCCACCCACTCACTCACCCACCCACTCACCCACCCACTCACCCACCCACACACAAATACTCACCAGTCACTTACCCACCCACTCACTCACCCACCCACTCACCCAGTTACTCACCCACCCACTCACCCACTCACACACAAATACTCACCAGTCACTCACCCACCCACTCACTCACCCACCCACTCACCCAGTTACTCACCCACCCACTCACCCACCCACACACAAATACTCACCAGTCACTTACCCACCCACCCACCCACACACAAATACTCACCACTCACCCACTCACCAGTCACTCATCCACCCACCCACTCACCCACTCACCCACTCACCCACCCACTCACCCAGTCACTCACCCACCCACACACAAATACTCACCACTCACCCACCCACTCACCAGTCACTCATCCACCCACCCACTCACCCACTCACCCACCCACTCACCCAGTAACTCACCCACCCACCCACACACAAATACTCACCACTCACCCACACACCCACACACAAATACTCACCACTCACCCACACACCCACTCACTCACCCAGTCACTCACCCACTCATAAATACTCACCACTCACCCACACACCCAGTCACTCACCCAGTCACTCACCCACCCACACACCCACTCATAATACTCACCACTCACCCACACACCCAGTCACTCACCCAGTCACTCACCCACCCACACACCCACTCATAAATACTCACCACCTCACCCACACACCCAGTCACTCACACAGTCACTCACTCACCCACCCACACACCCACTCATAATACTCACCACTCACCCACACACCCAGTCACTCACCCAGTCACTCACCCACCCACACACCCACTCATAAATACTCACCACTCACCCACACACCCAGTCACTCACCCAGTCACTCACCCACCCACACACCCACTCATAATACTCACCACTCACCCACACACCCAGTCACTCACCCAGTCACTCACCCACCCACACACCCACTCATAAATACTCACCACTCACCCACACACCCAGTCACTCACACAGTCACTCACTCACCCACCCACACACCCACTCATAATACTCACCACTCACCCACACACCCAGTCACTCACCCCAGTCACTCACCCACCCACACACCCACTCATAATACTCACCACTCACCCACACACCCAGTCACTCACCCAGTCACTCACCCACCCACACACAAATACTCACCAGTCACTCACCCACCCACTCACTCACCCACCCACTCACCCACCCACACACAAATACTCACCAGTCACTTACCCACCCACTCACTCACCCACCCACTCACCCAGTTACTCACCCACCCACTCACCCACTCACACACAAACACTCACCAGTCACGCACCCACCCACTCACTCACCCACCCACTCACCCAGTTACTCACCCACCCACTCACCCACCCACACACAAATACTCACCAGTCACTTACCCACCCACCCACCCACACACAAATACTCACCACTCACCCACTCACCAGTCACTCATCCACCCACCCACTCACCCACTCACCCACTCACCCACCCACTCACCCAGTCACTCACCCACCCACACACAAATACTCACCACTCACCCACCCACTCACCAGTCACTCATCCACCCACCCACTCACCCACTCACCCACCCACTCACCCAGTAACTCACCCACCCACCCACACACAAATACTCACCACTCACCCACACACCCACACACAAATACTCACCACTCACCCACACACCCACTCACTCACCCAGTCACTCACCCACTCATAAATACTCACCACTCACCCACACACCCAGTCACTCACCCAGTCACTCACCCACCCACACACCCACTCATAATACTCACCACTCACCCACACACCCAGTCACTCACCCAGTCACTCACCCACCCACACACCCACTCATAAATACTCACCACTCACCCACACACCCAGTCACTCACACAGTCACTCACTCACCCACCCACACACCCACTCATAATACTCACCACTCACCCACACACCCAGTCACTCACCCAGTCACTCACCCACCCACACACCCACTCATAAATACTCACCACTCACCCACACACCCAGTCACTCACCCAGTCACTCACCCACCCACACACCCACTCATAATACTCACCACTCACCCACACACCCAGTCACTCACCCAGTCACTCACCCACCCACACACCCACTCATAATACTCACCACTCACCCACACACCCAGTCACTCACACAGTCACTCACTCACCCACCCACACACCCACTCATAATACTCACCACTCACCCACACACCCAGTCACTCACCCAGTCACTCACCCACCCACACACCCACTCATAAATACTCACCACTCACCCACACACCCAGTCACTCACCCAGTCACTCACCCACCCACACACCCACTCATAATACTCACCACTCACCCACACACCCAGTCACTCACCCAGTCACTCACCCACCCACACACCCACTCATAATACTCACCACTCACCCACACACCCAGTCACTCACCCAGTCACTCACCCACCCACACACCCACTCATAAATACTCACCACTCACCCACACACCCAGTCACTCACACAGTCACTCACTCACCCACCCACACACCCACTCATAATACTCACCACTCACCCACACACCCAGTCACTCACCCAGTCACTCACCCACCCACACACCCACTCATAAATACTCACCACTCACCCACACACCCAGTCACTCACCCACTCACTCACCCACCCACACACCCACTCATAATACTCACCACTCACCCACACACCCAGTCACTCACCCAGTCACTCACCCACCCACACACCCACTCATAAATACTCACCACTCACCCACACACCCAGTCACTCACACAGTCACTCAC